CCCTCGCCCATCGCCCTGTGGGGGGAGGAGAGCTCAATAATGCATTTTTTTGCACGGCAAGTGAGCTGTGACGTCAAATCTGTCACGTGACCCGCGCATGTGGAAGCATCACGCATTGTAGTGTAGTGGTTAGCGTGCTGCGCTACGAACCCGGCGACCCGAGTTCGATTCCCGCTCACGGCCACCACCGGTGACGATTATTTCAACCGGTCCTGGGCCTCCCCTAGGTCGATTCAGCCTCAAACGAGTAACTGGTGTGGTGTGTGAACATTGCCACTGGGGAGACAAAGGCGACCGGGCGTGGTGAATCCAAGTCCCGGGCAAAGCCGGGTAGTAAAGCTAGTATAGAATACTTTCGATGATTCCAATTTTAAATGGAGGACACGGACTGCGCCACGGAGCTTTTAGCCAGTGGTAAACAAGGTATTTACCGGGTAATACTTCGCGCTACCTTTACCCTACCAGATAATTCTTCCGTGCTACCTTTACCCTACCCTTTACCTTACCCCTTGGCATGTCGAGACCTTTACCCTTTTACCCGGTAAAAAGAGTAAATTACCTTACCTTGACAAGGCCTAGCTCTATAGGTCTCTGCCTCTGTGTGTTTGGCCAGATAGAGTGGGCTCAACGGGCGTGGCATGGGCTAGAGAGGAATTGCACTGATGTGGTACAGGATAATATTGGGGTGAGTAAACCTGCCAGTGACCGGTACCAGCAAGTGTCAAGATCAGCCTCTGTGAATGAGGCTCCTGAAGGACGCTCCTGGGCAGTTGGAGGCAATCGCCCTCCAGCAACAACGGAGGGCAGAGGAGCAACGTTCACAACGAGCGGAACGTCGGGTGGCCAAAATACTGCAAATTGGCACATTAGTGGGCACATTAACATAAGCGAATAATAGCCAAAGCACATTAGCATACACCCATAGATGCTTTCGCAGCCACACAAATGTAAATGGATACACGGTACGGTAGGGGACAAAAGAACTCAGGGTCCCTAAGGGTTCCTGTGTTAGGGACAAAGGGATAAGCGGTATGTGATGTGATAAGTGGAATGTTTGTGGGTCACTCTCACTCTGTTAATGCTAGGACCGCCATTCTCCCATACCTCGGAAAAATGTTTTAAGGCCAAGTCATTCCAAGCTGGATGCCTGGCGATTTGATTTCCTAATGTATGAGGTTCAATGTGATCGAATACGTGGAGGTCCCCAGCAAAAATATGGAAATGGCCGCGCCAAAGCCCTTGGGAACGACCGCTTTTATTGACAGCGGGTGTGTGAGCGAGGTGGAGAGTCGGGGTCACGTGATTGGCGCTGGTAAATCCCGTATGACCGCTCCCCTATCCATAGTAATCAGGGAGCTAGGACCCTGATTGGGAGTGAATCAGGAAGGGGATGCAGAGGGGTAGGAGCAGCTCAGTCTGCGGGAGAGCGACCTGGAAAGTGGCCGTGTGTGAACCTAACATGAAGGCGTAGAGTTCCGCGGGAACTCTCAACTTCTGAGTTCTCGGTCGAGTCACCCCAGAAAGTCCATCTAAGCCCAGCCAAAACCGAGATGAGAGATTAATCGTTACATAGTCTGTCGTCTAGGTCTTCATACTGTTGGTGGTACGTTGAGGGTGTGCAAGTGACTGTCGTGGTTAGGCAGGTGCCTAAATCTATCAGAAGGCTCAGCCTGAATGGGAGGCCGTCAGTTTAGAAAACCCTCCCTGCCGCCAGCGAGGCATGCACAGGGTCTTCACCCCAAGGAGCCATCTCCCTGAGCAGTGGGAAGGCCGCATAACCTCGGGTGGAGGGGGTGTTGGGGGGTGTGTACGTGGGCAAGGAGCCAACTTTAGGCGTTGACCAGGACCCAAGACCCCACATGAGCCTCGAGTCCCGGGTCTGCTCCCCCTTATAATCCCCAGGTTCCCGGAGAATCTTGGCTAACCCCACCTTTTATCTTTGCCCCAGATACACCTCCTTTTCCGATTGGTTGTTACTTAACCGTGCCCATACCCATGATTCCCCTTCCAGGCCTGCAGGTGTCACACTGTCATTTCATCACCCCCCTACCTCAATAAAAAGATAGCCATCCCGGCTAATACCAACTAATTTCTAGGTAAGGAACCCCCCTGTACAATGTTAAAGTACAGCAGGGGTCACCAAACTACGGCCCACGGGCCGGATCCGGCCCGCGACGTCAGTCCATCAGGCCCGCCGACGGTACTTGAATTTGGTTGATAAAACGTATGGAACACGAGATGTTGTGATACAATTTAAATTTAAATATTATGTTTAGAATACTAGGAGATCTTCACGCGTGCGGAGACCTCCTTACTGCTATGTGCCTTAAATTTACTATTTTAAATTATTGTATCTAGATTTTCTTGTTTATTGTAATGTTTGCTTATTTCGCGCCATCCCAAGTCCTTCCCCGGCTCGTGGTAGCTCCGCCTACGCTCTGACGTTACCAAGGTTTCCATGGCAACACACACAAACATGCATCTTTCCCGCCCCCAGTTATCCGCCCACTGTGAAAAAAGTTTGGTGACCCCTGAAGTACACCAATGAAAGAGTTAACAAACAATGACTCTTAAGTAAGGCGGAAAAATCCGCAGGAACGATCAAGAAAGTATCTAACAAGGAAAGGGATGACGAGAAAATGGCGAGAGGGAACAAGATAGAGGAGAGAGAAAACATTTCACTACCCAGGCAGAGCAATCCCAACACACAGGGGCATTCCCATCAACGGAATCTTAAGCATTTAGACCGATATTCATATTCTTGGTTCGTTCTTTCGGTAAAGTCATGTAGAAGGGAAACAATAAAAGAATAAAAATATAAAACAATTTAGACCGAGTTCGCGATGCCATCGACGGGAACGGTCTTCATCTCCTTCACAGGGGGTGTGCCATCATCGGCTTCACAGGTGCTGCAGGCTTGGTGGCAGCAGGCAACTCCTCAAGTTCGGGCAGGCTTCGAAGTCCGTCAACTGTCATAGGCTCGGAAGCTGTGGGCGGCATGACACAATCCTTCTGACGTATGCCCTCCGCCACCACTTCCCCCGGCTCGTCGGACACAACAGACACTGGCCGTATATTTTTTGGAGATGAAGAGTCAGCCCAAGCAGGAACAAACGGTTTTAACAGTGACGGATGGACAAACCAACGGCGACGGCCCACCCGTACATGCACACACTGCGGCCGTTTGACCTCGATCACTTCCACGGGACCCTGCCAAGGCTTATGCAACTTAGGGGACGTACCCACCGGCACCTGTCGGCAATGCAACCATGCCCTGTCACCTATAGACCACGGCAGTACGTGATCCCGTTTCCCTGCATTTCGCTCGTTAGCCTGTGCTTTGGCAGTGTTCACTTTACTAGCTGCTTTCCGAGCCGCAGAAATGCATTCCAGCATAATTTGCACGTGCACAGGCAATTTGGAATTCCCCTTTTCCTTCGACGATCCCAATTGAGCGTCCATAGGAGGTACATTTTCCCTCCCATACATGATTAAAAACGCCGAAAATCTTGTGGAAGCATGGGGGGCCATCCATACGAAGCAAATACACTCGGAACATGCAAATCCCAATCTGTTTGCGTCGTGCTAACTGCCTGACAAAGCATGGACATCAGAGTCCTATTCAGCCGCTCCACCATCCCATCTGTCTGGGGATGGTATGGCGACGTTCTAATCTTCTTAGTGCCCAACGCGTCGCATACCTCGTGCAGCAGCTTCGACGAGAAATTCCGCCCCTGGTCAGTGAGCAGCTGCTCAGGGGCCCCGTTGTCTATTACGTATCCATACAAAAACGCCTCAGCAATCGAAGCTACTGACTGGTCAGGCAGCGGCCAAGCCATAGACCATCGTGAGAAATACTCAACCGCCACCAAAATAAATCTATTCCCTCTTTGAGTGGCCGGGAAGGGCCTAAGGATATAGAGTGTGACCAATTCGTTAATCCGTGAAACCGAAATGGAAGGCAGCGGAGGCTGGGACTTCCTCTGTGGCAGTTTCCTACGCGCACAGTGCGTGCACTCTTGGACCAAGTGGTACACATTACTTGACATACCCGGCCAATAATAATCACGCTGCAGTGTTAGCAATGTCTTCCGGACCCCGAGATGCAACAATTTATCCTCGTGCACCACTCGAAGAGCAGTGGGGACGACAACACAACAACGGTACAACATATCTTCCCTCAACATAAACAGGTTATCCTGAAGGACCATTCGCGGTCCTTCAGTAGGTGCAGAAGCTTTTTGGTCCAATTCCGCGCGACGCTGTTAGGCAGTTAGGGACACATCTTCCAATTGCTCTTGGCGGGCCCTGTGTCCTTGAACGCTTCCATGATGTTTGCTGATCTCACCTTCGGAGAACATGCACAGCTCGACGATTGAGGCAGACGAGACAACGCGTCAGCATTGCAATGATATATCACGCGGAACGAGTATTCTTGCAGAATTTCAAGCCAACATGAAAATTGACCAGAAGGTTGATCAACCTTCAAGGAGTACTGAAGGGCCGCGTGATCTGTGCGGACAATTAATTCTCTGCCATAGAGATAAGGCCTGTACTGATCTACAAAATAAACCATGGCCAACAGTTCTCTACGAGAATAAATGGCAGAGAAAAATCAGGGTAATCAAGTGTGTGTGCATCGGACAGACGCTCACGAAGGGCTAAAAATGCAGCTTCTTCTTCCACCCCCAACTGGAACCTCTGGTTTTTAGCCGTCAAGGCGTGCAAGGGCTTAGCAACCGTGGCAAATTTCGGCACGAACCTACGGTAGCGCTCAGTTTAACAAACATAACCATTTAGGGTTAATTGTACGGATCAATGACAATTCCAATCACAAAGTGTTCACATATTCGAGTGTTTTTAGATATTAAAATTGCTTAACGCAAAAGACTGAGCGATTCCTTCCCAAATTCATGCGTAATAATCTTAATTATAAGAACTGTAACCTGCGGTGAGATCTGAATTCTGAGACCTGACATTAAACACACAAACATAATCAGTAAAAGTTAAAGCGAGAATCATTTTATTATCACCATTGTGAATATAACCCTTGACAACGAAGCAGAGCCTAATGATCATAATTGCACACATTAGCATAATTCATAAATAACATTTTTTCATTTTATTATCACCATTGTTAATACCCTAGACAACGAAGCAGTCTCATTAGCATAAATGCACAAATTTGCATAATTATGTAAATGAACAGAAATTTGTAAAATTACACGTTTTTTTAATTAAAATAGTTTTATTCTTCTTACTTTTCAGGACCTAATATATACAACAATGAGGCTGCAGTGCGTGCATATACAGGTCGGTCGCTGTCGCTGATTTGTGCACCCATTATGGTTAAAACCCTATGTTCGACCCTATGTAGACAGTTCATCTCCATCTCCAGAGTGGCGGGTGTCTGATGTGTCCAACAAGCCAGAGTGAATGAGCCCGGAAGTTGCGCTTCAGAAGGATTGCGTTGTGCTGCCCGCAGGATCCCAGAACCCAAAGTCTGGAGATCCCCTGACAGCGCCTCCGTGTGAAAGACCGCGTGTGGAAGCCCAGTCGCCATCTTCTTCTCCCAGGGAGGGGCCGCACCCTTTAGGCTGTTTGTGTCATGTCCCGGTGGTCCCCAGGGTGCAAGTTCCTGCTCAAGATGGGGGACGGGCGTCGAGGACTCGCTCCAACAGCGCTTCTTTCGGCTGTCATGTCAATTGTGTTCTGACGTCGTCCGGCGGGTGGCTGCCGCCGCGAACCAGGCTGTGGCTTGCGGTTGATCTGGGGTCCTTCCCAATGCTCGCAGGCTGCAGCGCGGCAGCGGACGTCGTGAATTGCTGCGCTTCCCTCGCAGATCAGATTGAATCGTTACGGGGTTTTCTTACTGATGTCTGCTAACCCTCCCTGTTATGGTAATGTGTTCGCACACGTTCTTGTAGGGCCTTCCCCCTTCTTATTACGTGATTGTTGTCAACCGAGATGGCTGTTTTTTTCATGGGGGGAGGGTGATGTAGTGGTATAGCGCTGGCTGCTGGCGGAAAAGGGTAACTGCAGTGTACGGCAGTACTAGCGTCAGCAGGCCACGATATATACGAGAGGGGAACATCTAGGGGAAAGTGCACAGAAGGGGTCCATCGGGAAGCCCCGGGAACCCGCTCGTAGGTTCCAGAAAGGGGGCGTGGCCGAGGCGGAGCAAGGCCACGCTGGGAGTATAAGAGGGGGCCCTGAGTGGGAGCTCGAGGCTGTTGCTGGAAGTGGAATCCCCGTCATGCTGTTCAAGATCGTCATCACCATCTCGTTGTCGTCACCATCTCCTCGTCATCGTCTCTGTCTTCACCATCACGGGGTGCTGTTAGTCAGACAGCCTACCAACTGTTCTAACTAAGTAGTGCTGCCGACAATAGACGGTCTTAATTATAATAGTGTGCACCCACGTAGGGTGTGTATTATCCAGATGGTGCTTGTTAAATAAAATAAGTGCCTCCAAGTATTACTGTCTCCGATCTGTCACTACACATTTTTGGAAAACAAGCCGGTCCACCAATTCCCTCACTCTGCTCGCGTAGACTTCGTGTCACGTGACCCTACAACAATGGAATGTAGAAGATTGATACTTACAACGTTGGTAATAGTTGGCCGCATGGAGAAAAAAGGTGGTGCATCTGCCGGTCATCTCAGTCAACCCACGGTACCTGGGTCTGTCCCATGATCTCCTGCCCACGAGCCTTACACACTTCATATGGCCTCAACGTGCTCCTAGTCTGGCACAAACGTCGTGGTGATGTTACCGCCACTTAGTGATGAATGGCGGCTATTGTTATCTCTGAATCCAGGTATTTCTGTCTTAGATTGTGTCTTTAGTCTCCGAGTCTCTCTGTGACACTGTTTCCTGGTGTGTCTACATCTCTGATTAACAAGTGTCTTTGTGACTGTCTCTCTGATTCTATTTATCGGGATATATTTTCTCTAATGGTATCTATGTGACTTCGAGTGTCTGGGTATGTGTTATTTTCTCTCAGTGACTGTGTTTGTATCTTTGTGTCTGTGTAATTTGCATCAGTTTGTGTTAATATGTCAACTACAAAAATATATAACTGCAAATGACTTAACCTCTCTTCCCTCCCTGCTCCGTGTGTCCCAATGTCCCTTTGTGTTACCCATGTCTACTTGTCTCCCAGTGTCTCCTCGTGTCTCCGCATCTCCCCGTATATCCCAGTGTCTCGTAGCCTGGTGTTCGCCACACCACTTTGCTGCTCAATTTTACCACAGAGCAGGTGCTGTTCAAAGACACAGGAAGTTCACAATGACTGTGTCGAAAACACTGCCTTCTTAATTCTACTGAGTTGATGGTCTCAGCCCGGTCACCAGTGACTCACATGGAAGATCAAAATACCTACATAGAGACCCATGGACCTAGAGACCCACAGACAAAGACATCCATAGACCTACATAGAGACCCACAGAACTATAGAGACACTCATGGACCTAGAGATCCACGTATCTATACAGACACATGGACTAATATCGAGACACATTCAGAGACCAAACGCGGACATAAACTGAGTTGTGATGAAGCCCGGTCTCAAGTAATGACTGTCATATTAATGGGTGGTAAAGATATGGGTGGGGATGATGATGATGATGGTGCTGTTGTCTATTGATCGTGTTGATAGTGATTGTTGATGATGTTGTTGATGCTGCTGCTGTTGCTGATAATGGTTAAAATGCTGATGATGATGGTGTTAGAGCTGATTATATTGATGGTGTCACTGTGGCCCAGCTCCATGTCAGTGTCCTGCCTTGAGCCGCAGGTGAGGGAAGAGATTTAGAGCAAGAATCGCGAAATACATGCGGTCTTCTTCAATAAGCGGCCCCTAGTGGAGCCAGGAGGGTGGTGCCTCCCACACTCTCTGGAGACTTTATATCAACCCAAAAAACATGTTTTATGGATGCAGGCCCTGTCTCCACGAGACCCCTGTCTACAGGTGTTCTTCCTCACGGCAGGTGTGGGGGTGGGCGTACACAGGAATTTCCTGTACTTATGTTGAGTTTGGTCACGTGACCAGGAAGTTACGATTTTACATCCTCTGAGCCATGCCGCAAGGTATCAGCCATTACACAGAGTACAAAATGGAGGCACAAATAGCGTCTCAGTGAAGACAGGTGCATCTGTTCATTGTGGGACTTTAAGAAGCAGTCTGTAAGTTAGTATATGTTCTTCTAATACTGTGAATGCTGTTATAATGTTAGAATGACCGTTATAATTATGTAAATGCCTTTATAATGCTGTTAAATTGTTAGAATAACTATGAGGCCTAGTTCAAAACGAAGCCTGCCACTTGCCTTATTGTGAATGTTACTTGTAATGGAATAAGTCGAGTCAGACTTGTACCCATGTAACCTTATTGCGATCTTGAGAGCAAGGATGACGAAAATATATCATCCACAGTTCAGTGTTGTGTGTAGTGGTGTACATTTAGGCTGCAGTATGGTGATGGCACGATGTGCCCTTATTTAACAGTAGCTCATTCTCTTGTATAGCTATTCAGTACTAATGTAGGTGCCTGGTCCATCCAGGATCTATTTTGAGTTTCATGTTATTGAAGACAATGTTATGATGCTGTAGTGTTCATTCATTGTATTGATATTTCCAAGCATTAACAGATGCTGCATTTGTGCTGTTTTTCCATCAATTTTACCTCATTCAATTCATTAAATACGTTTGGAGTCGGATGTTCACCCTGGCTCTGAAGGTTTATTGAATGCGAGGTTATCTACTCAAATAGTGGTGCAACAGCGAGGCCGAGACAACAGGCCTCATCTCTTTCAGGGTTTATTTTGTCTGTCTTTAGGCTCCTTATCGATGCCCTGTCTCCCTACCTGTGCGTAGGCCATCTGCATGAGGCCCTATCTGCAGGGCTCATCATTTTATGGGTTTTTTCCCCTGTTTCTTTGAGGTCTTGTGTGTTTATTTTTAATCTCTTTGAGGCTCTGTAGACCTAAATTCCAATGGACCCCTGTCTACAGGTCCCGTCTCCTTGACGCTTCGTAGGCCCCATCTCGTCAAGTACCTGTCTCTGCCCAGCCTCCTTGAGGCTGTGGCTGTAGGATATGTCTCCACGAGGCTACCTCAAGAAGCCCGTCTCCAGTAGGCCTGGTCCCCAGTAGGCCTGGTCTCCAGTAGGCCGGGTTTCCACATGACCATGTGTCCAGTAGTCCTGGTTTCCACATGACCATGTCTTCAGGACCTGTGGTCTACACGCCAAGTAGCGCTCCCAGCACCAGTCGCACACTTCTGTCTCCTAGCCGCTCATTTATTGGACACGGAGGCCCCACATTGCACAGATGCTCATCGCGTGGTAGTGACGCAGATACAACCAATTAAATTGCAAGCAATCGGTCGCGCAACTTGTTGCAGAGACTGCCACACACGTTGGACGTACCACGCATGTATAATGCGCTATCACATCACGACACGACTCAAAGTCCCCCACGTAGCAGCTCTCCCTGTGCGGCACAAGGTGCCCCGGCACCTGGCTCTGCGATGGGCTTTACTCCGCCAGTAAGGGACGACTATTTCTGCGTGAAGCCATTTATCGGTAATTTATATATTTTTTCAAAATGAGAACCGAGGTTGTGTTAGGTTATGGGGGGAACCAGGATAACCCCTAGGGTTCCTTCAGGGGCCATGCTTGCTGCCGGCTAAGCGAAGTTGCATGCAACTCATTTCTTAGGAGTGGACCCAGTTTCAGGGCGAAATTCCTCACTCGGTATTACAGGACGCTGCTGGGCTGGCTCTCGGGAGGGATTATTGGCGTTATAAGGCACCGACACTAAGTGTAATCACGCCCATCAACAACATGCTGTGGTGTAAGGACAAAACAAGGTGAGGTGGCGCTGCCGGAGTGGCGGTGCTGATGGATCCGGCCATGTGCTTCCCCGTGCGAACAGACTTCAGTTCCTGAAGCTCCGAGCACTAGAGAAAAACGTCGGACGTCGTGCCAAAATGTCAATCCAAAAGCACACGGGAGAGCTGTACATTAGCAGCAGTAGCACGACCACGACCCCCACACTGCCATGTGGAGGTTAACACTTTAAATGCAGTGGCCGCCCTGGTTAATATCGTGGTGTTTAGTAACCGTGCAAATACCACGTGCTGTTTCACACTGGACCTTCAAGATCCTGTGGTGTTATTTGCAAGAGTAGGCCATTGTATTCCAGCGTCTCAGTACAGATTTGAAAACTGACACCGCATACTCAACTGGAATCTGCATAGCAATCATCGCCCCCTACAGTTGGCAGGACCCTCCTGAAAAAGTCTTGAGACTCCAGAATGTGTAAAAAATCTATCTGAATTACAAAATATGAGGAAGGGTGTATGTCTTATTAATGTCCAAATAGCGAGAAAGCACAGGTGTTTTGTAGTTTAATGCAATTACTGAGCACAGGCCCAAAACGTCAAGCGGCCAGCAACAAACAGCACTCTGAAAAATGTGTGTGGAAAAGATTCAACACGAGCCTAGAATTTAGGGACGGTGCAGGAGACCGATGTGGCCTAAGTCCTGAGTTCCCCGAGGGCCCCAGATTCCCCCAAGGTCAGTGCGACCTTGCGCCCTCTCTGGTTTTAACGTTAACGTAATCATCTCAAATCAAACTGTGCAGGTCCATCCACTGTCAGCCAGTCCATCAACCGCAGCGCAGCATGCACACCCCACCTCCCCGACTTTGCCCGTCCACTGCTGGACGAGAGGCTGGTGTCGCGTATAGGTCTGTGGAGCCATTAATTAAATCCGTTTCTCTGTTAAGGCCTCCTCCCCTTCATTCAGAAGTTGCTCGAGCCATTCATCAGACAGAAAGTCGTAAGTCTACGGGTCCAGATGACTTCCCTGTGGAATTGTTTAAAGGAGGGGAGTCGGTACGTGACAGGATGCAACATGTGTGGCAATCTGGGAAACTGGTGAATGGCAAGGGGATTGGACATACTCTACATTTATCCTAGTTCCAAAGAAGGGTGATCCTAAACAGTGCACAAATTACAGGACAATAGCACTGGTTTGAAAACAGAATACGAGATTGCAGATGAGCAAGCTGGATTCTGGCAAGGGAGAGGGACCAGAGAACAAGTCACCAATCTCAGAATCCTCATGCACAAGATAAGAGGACATAATCAGCCATTATATATGTGATTTGTGTACTTTCAGAAAGCGTTTAACTCGGTTCCTCATGATAAGCTGTGGCGAACCATGACGGACATGGGATTCCCAGTACATCTGATTGACTTACTGGCCAAACTTTATCAGAAATAACTTGCTTGAGTCAAAGTGGTGGAGACACTGTCCGAATGGTTTCCATGTCAGAAAGGGAGTCAGACAGGGTTGTGTCCTTTCTACAGACTTATTTAACATCTTGGCTGAAACGGGAATGAGAGAAACACTTGATGGTTTCTTCGGAGGAATCCAGATCGAAAGGTGATGAGTAACAAATGTTCGGTATGCCGATTACATATTTTTTCTTGCCGGTTCTCAGGTGGAGTTGCAGGAGTTGACAGATCGCTTAGATTGGGTTAGTCGCACGTTTAACCTCATCAATGTGGACAAGATCAAAGTGATGGGCAGTGATGGAGCAGCCTGCCACATCTGGATGCAAGGCATCCAGCTGGAGCAAGTGGACACCTTTCCATATCTTGGAGCAGTCATCACTGAAGATGCGAGGTGATCAAAATAAATTCAAGCTAAACTAAGGGTCAGACAATTGGGTGATCCCTGAAGAAAATATGGAAGATTCACAGCATCCCCATTGGAACGAAGATCAGACTTCTGCATCCCTTTGTGTGGCCAGTTGCTTTGTATGGTTGTGAAAGTTGGACAATCAAGAAGAACGACGAGGCATAAATAAATGCCTTTGAAATTAAAGGACTCGGGTGGATAGTATGTGTATAGTGGACTGAAAAGAAAACAAATGAATGGGTTTTGGAGAAAGCTGGTGTTGAGAGGTGATAACATTAAGAAAACTATCCTACTATGGTCATGTTATGAGAAAAAAATGGAACTAGTTTGGAAAAGCAGATTATGCAAAGCACAATACCCAGTTCACGTGCGTGAGGAAGACGAAGGATGACATGGATATATAACATCAAAGCATGGACAAGGCTCACGCTGGAATAGACAATGAGGATAGCAGAAGACAGAATTCAGTGACAAAGGATTGCCCATGGTGCGGCCAAACCTCGGATCAAGGATGGCTGAAAACAAGACAAGACAAGTTAGGGAAAATGTGAGGCACTGTGTATAACACACATTACACACATATAGACAAAGATCCCCCGTGTAGCCTACACAGGCTGACGGGGTGAGTGCAATTAGCGAGCACCTATTAAGACACGAGGGGGTGTGGCCAGCATCACCACGCCCGGTCTCCATTGTCTCCCCAATGCTGATGTTTGTACACAATGGTAACAGGTACTCATTTTGCTTAAGGCTGAGCCAACCTAGGGTAAGCCAAAAACCACCACTCACAATAGCTGTGAATGGGTAGCGAACTCTGGTAGTTCGGTGCTTAGAGCAGCATACTAACCACTGCGCCACTGCTCCACGCCCTAGCCACACTCACACCCTGTCTGGCGCTGGCAGGGCCAGTGTGAGGTGCACACTTAGGTATAGGTTATACATCGGAGTGCGTCGGCTCTCAGGAGGGGCTCATACACGGGAACCGTTGTCACCGCATTGCATGACGCCCGGGGTCAACAGAGTAACGCATGTCTGGTCACACACAGACAAAGATCCCCCATGTAGCCTTCAACTAACTCGGGGTAAATGCTGTCAGCGAGTACCTATGAAGCCACGGCACATTTTTACACACTACTCCAGGTGCTCATTTAAAGCTGAGTCGACCTAAGTGAGGCCCCAGAAACCGGTTGACATATCCGTCACCGATGTTCGTGCTAACCACCGCACACATCACACGCACACTCGACAGAACAGGGGCAGAACACACAAACTCCTCAGAGACAGGAGCTCGGGCTAGGAATTAAACCCAAACCCCTTCTTGCTGTGAGGCAAGAGCAATACCACTCTGCTACCCGAATGGAGCAGGACCCTCTCTGAAAACATAGTCTCGAGATCTCAAGTGAGATTTTTTTTCCCAAAAAATTAATGGCACTGATGTTGTTATACCTGTGGTGATCGTTACAGCCAAGTTATTATGTCACAGCAGCTTAGCCCACAGGCTCAACTGTGGGTGATTTGGTCATATGGCGAATGCTAATACGTCATGTTGGCAAAACATCCCAAGAGGGTCGAAGTCTCAGCGGGGAAGGCAGGGTGTCCCAGCGGTAGCACGTTCACTGCTTGTGGCAAGGTTCGCCGTCATAATCCCGAAGGCCGCCCTGGTTGACACCGTGCGGGTGTTGTGAGTATGAACCATATAAATATGTCCGCTTCCCTTGCAGTGGAAGTTAAACATCCCGTGATGTCATTCTCGCGATAGTAGCCCATCGTGGTGGCGTAACGGTCCAACTTTACTAAATCCGAAAAACTGCCTCACAAATTACTGGATAGGAATTACACGCATAGCAGCAAACATTGCTCCCCACTGCGAAAACTAAGCAGGACCCTCCTTAGAAAGAGTCTTGAGACTCAGTAGGGAGGCACTTCACAGTGCGCTGGCAAACCACCACAGGTATAACAAACCAGCGCACTTTGATGAGTACAACAGCATGGACACCGTCCGTGCACGTGATCCGTACGTCCCCCACCCACGGACACCGTCAACGTTGGGTGAGAGACAGGATGAAGAGGCACGCACGGGTTAGATAGGGAACTCGGCATCGTGGTGGTGCCACTGCTGACGGGACGCGCCGCAGCAGAGCAGCCAGAGGAGGGCGTACACCGGAGGATGTCTGCCACCAACTCGGAGCGACGGACTCGGCGCGCGTGCCCGGGACAACGGGCGGACTGCTACATCGCAGGACCCTGAGAGATGGGCAACAGCTTGGGGAGGCCTTCATCCAGTGGTAGATTGGTCGTGGTCATGGCAGAAGATTTGCGTCGTGTGTGACGACCGCGAACACGGTGAAGCGGCTCGCGGCCACAGCGATGCGGTAGTGCAGTGTGAAGGCACTCGGTGTCATGGGGATACAGAGACATGGGGACACAGAGACGCGGGGACACAGAAACAAGGGGACACAGATACACTGGGAGACAGAGACATGGGGACACAGCCAACAACTTGCATGGCTGAGAATGAATTCAGTAATTGTCGAGGTCTCTCTATCACAGATAAAGATCCCCCGTGTCGGCTAAATAGGCTGAAGGGGCAAGTCGTTTTCGCGAGCACCTATTAAGGCTGGTGATGCTGCTGCTGGTGCTGATGCTGGCTCCTCCTCTCTCACCACCAGCGCTACAGGCTGCTGATTGCGATCGCCTCTTTCTCTCTCACACTCTCTCTCTCCTCCTCCTTCCTCCTCCTCTTCTCCCCCTTCTGCTGGCGCGCCGTTGACACCAGGTTGGCGACAGCCGTGCCGGCCGTGCCGGTCACCACGCAGCCCGCGCCGGCCAGGGTCCAGGCCCCCACGGCGCCGTCCTGCTCCCCAAACAGCAGCTGCTGCCACGCGAGGCTCAGCAGCACGTCCACGGTGCGCACCAGCGCCACGGGCCCAGCGCGCTCCAACTGCAGTGCCCGGCTCAGCAGCATCTGCGCCGCCACGCCGAGCAGGCCAGAGGCGAGCAGAGCTGGTCGCAGCCACGGTGGGTTGCATGGCGGCAGCGCTGGCGCCGCCCCGGGGTCGAGCGCTGAGACCACCGCCAGCGCAGCCAGGGCCAGGCCCAGGCCGAGGACGCTGTAGAACCACGTGGAGACGAGGGTGCTCACCGCCGAGCCCATGCGGCGCAGCACCACGATAGTGACGGCCGACAGCAGCGCCGTGCCCAGCGCCGCCAGCGAGCCCCAGAGTCGGCGTGACGAGGATGAGGAGGAATCCGAGAGCCAGTCTGGGATGGGGGAGGGAGACGGGGTGGGAGGAGAAGGGAGGGAAAGATGAGGAGGGGGAGAATAGAGGAGTTCATTTAATTAATTAAATTGACATAAATGTTGTGAATGAACTCGTTAAGCACGGCGATGACTATGACTGCCCGGCACCGTCATCATCACCACCGATATTACCTACCGACCGTCACCATTATCACTACCAGCACTACCACCACCACCAACCGACAGTGATGAGGCAACATTAATATGAAACTGTCGAAGATGCAGACCGAGTTTCTCTTGTGACGTTACTGGAGATTGCGGCACGCGGAGCGTGATGAACACTGAGGGAGAGGAGGGTAGTGACGCAGGTGGGCGGTAGCACGTTCCTCACTTGCCGGAGAGGATCACGGTTCAAATCCAGCAGCCGCACCGGTTAACACCATGGTGGATGAATTAATCATACAAATACGAGTACTTGGTGTGGTGCATAAACATCAGCTCTGGGGAGACAAAGGCACCCGAGAGTGGTGCTGGCCATGTCACCCCTCCCACGTAACGTACAGCATTGGCTACACAGGGGACCTTCGCGTCTGCGCGTCCGTACCGTCACCATCTCCGTCACCGAAGATGAAGGGCGGACGCACAATGAGGACAACTCCCGTGAGTGCCAACAGGGTGAGCGGCGGCTCCCAGGGCCGGCAGCGCTCGCGCAAACAGCAGCAGGCGAGCAGGCCCGTGAAGGCCGGGCTGCTGAACGCGATGACCGTGGCGTCTGCCAGCGGCACCGAGCGCACCGCGAAGAACAGCAGCATCATCGCTGATGAGCCGGATACGGCGCGAATCACCAGGCTCACCCGCTGCCCCGGGGGGCCCAGTAGGGGCTGCCTACACAACCGCAACCACAACCATGTCAAAAACAGCCAGGCACGTCAGCATCATCAGCAACCACCGTGTCAAGAGTTAAATAAGCGCTGCAATTAAACGGTTACAATTATGCACAAATCATCAGGGGATTGAATGCCAAAACCAAATCAAATCGCATAAGTGTTGAAATTGATCAAGCAATTAAAACTATTCAATTACCGTACATTGCAGGAGTAACTGATAAGCTAGCCAGATTTTTTGAAAAACAAAACATCCGACTGAGTTTTGGAATGGTACATAAAATACAAAATCTATTATCTGGTACTAAAGATGTATTACCAAAGCTATCAACAAAAGGTGTGTATCAGATGAATTACTCCTGTGGAAAATGCTATGTTGGTCAGACGGGACGAATTATTAGCATAAGAATAAAAGAACACCAAAGAAATATGAACTTTGTTTGCAGAGCACGCTGCCAACAAGGACACAATTTATTTTGATAATGTTGAGGTTTTGTGTACTACTGGCCAAGCGATGTATTGAAATTGAGAAAAATATAAATAATAAATAAGTTTCTTAGTTCTTTCGGTAAAGTCACGTTGAAGGGAAACAATAAAATAATAAAATATATATAAAACAATAAAAATTCTCACGACGTTTCGACCATAACACAAACGGTCGTCTTCAGGTGTGTCGGTTTGCATAAATGTATTTATTTTTAAACGGTGTATTTATTTAAAACAACGTTAGCGCCACGCGCAGCGATTTGGCGGTTTATTTAGAAGGACTAGTCCATCTATGTTCTGAAAAGAGGAGGGGGGAGACGAAATTTTTTTTAATGTATGCTGTCTAAAAGCCACTGTAAGCGTGAATAAATTTATGCAAACCGACACACCTAAAGACGACGGTTTATGTTATGGTCGAAACGGCGTGAGAATTTTTATTGTTTTATATATATTTTATTATTTTATTGTTTCCCTTCAACGTGACTTTACCGAAAGAACTAAGAATATGAATTACTGCAGTCACGAAAGCTTTAAATCAAAATTTAATAAATAAGTGTTCTGATAGTGCTGCTTGGAAGCGTGTCATCAAGTAACACACTGTTTAATTGCATGCCTATACAGGTCACCAAACATCGATGGTGATTAACTGCGAGCAGCCAATAAAAGGCACTGCATATCCTTTGAAATTAGATTAACATAATTAGATAAACATAATGTATATACATAACACATGGACATATATTATCTATGTTGATTAACTGTAAATAACCCAACTAATAATAGATATCCATTGTAATTTATATGACATTAACCTCCCTCTGGTCTTCGCACAAGTGTAGTGACTGATTCGGAGACGCTAAGACTTGGAGAAAATTATTTTATTCAACCGAGCACCTTTTGCACAAAACACACCCTACGCTGGTACACACTCTCTACGTGGGTTGCTAGGCTATACACAACACTAGCCGTCTAATACTGACGTCGCTGAACCGTCTAGCAGCGCAATATCGAGTGAAGACAACAGCGATGATGGCGACAAGACGACAGCGATGATGGCGACGATCTTCAGCAGCACGACGGGGATCCCACTACAAATGACAGCCCCGAGCTATCGCTCAGGGCCCCCTTTTATGCTCCCAGCGTGGCCTCGCTCTGCCCCAGCCACGCCCCCTCTCTAGAACCTACTAGCGGGTTCCCGGGCTTCCCCCACGTGCCCCTTCTGTAACCTTTCCCCCAGATATCTCCCCTGGCCTGCTGACATCAGGGCTGCTGTAAGCCGCAGATCCCCTTCCCCCCTAGCAGCCAGCACTATGCTGTTACATTACTTATTCTGTCACTATACAAGTGATGACACCACATTTATCCCCTCAATTTAAGACTGAGAGGAGGATTTCTCCACAATTCTGGCTTTCGTCTGATGAGGCTATTTGTAATTACCGACAAAAAGTCGTCCTTGAATTGTAAATCTTGTGGGTTTACTCTCCAACCCACCGGTGTGCTGAAATAGTTATGCATTGAGATGTTTTGTTTACGTGACAAACCTTACTAATTGGCAGTGTCGGTGGTGGCGGGTTGAAAGACATTTATATTTACGCGATCTAACCCAAAAAAAAAACTCTACTATGGACAGTGGTGGGTGTACACCTAGGACCCCATTCAAACCCACTCTAATCTGGCCTCAGCTCGTTGATGAAAGTTGCAAGCAGAAATTTCTACATCACTTGCAGCTGGGGTTAAGCATCATCCCCCCCCCCCCCCTCCTGATGCCGAGGGGAAATGGGTGAGGTTCAGGACTCTGGCTCATATAACTGCCACATGGCTGCATTGAGTACATGGTCCGGACCTTTCCAGAGACCCTGGGTAAGAGGTGTTCTGGCTAGCTTAGAGAAAGCCACAGGCCCATTCCCACACCTACAGCATCGCACATAAGAGAATGAGGAGGCTTACTACAGCCTTCACTCGGAGGTTTGGAGAGCTGTGTAGGACTACAAGGATGAGTGGTGGGCTTGGGTTGCTGAGGAGATGGAATCTGCCTCAGTAGCCCACAATCACAAATCACTTTTTAATGCCATCAAAAAATTAATTTGCAGCGCCTCACTGACCACCATCCTTAAGGCAAAGAACGGTGATCTGATCGCTGACACCAGTAAATGGTCTGCAGGCTTTCAAAGCATTTCTATGAGGTTTTGGGGGAGGGGAATTCCATCAGCTCGGGCAACATTATGGGGCAAGATTGAGATGATCCTGCTGGGGCTGCTGTGCCTCAAATATTGGAAGAAGTCACCCCCTGTGAGTGGCTGGCTGAAGTACCATCTGTTGAGGAAGTACGAAAGGCGATCTAGTGTCCGAGACCAGAAAAAGCGCCGGGTAGAGATGATCTCCAAAGTAAAATGCTGAGGGAGGGTGGTGTTTGTGGGCAGACTGCTCTATACGACATCATAATAACAGTCTAGACCACTGGACGGGTTCCGCAGCATTGGAAGGATGCCCTGGTAGTCCCCCTATTTAAGAAGGGGGGCCGCACGTACTGTAATAACTACAGGGGTATCTCCCTCAGTGTGCCGTGAAAAGTCCTCTCAAGGATTATTCAACAACGCCTTGCCAGACACACTGAGCAAAGGCTTGCGGAACCCCAATGTGGTTTCAGGCGAGGGTGGTCTTGCACAGATGCCATATTTTCTCTCCGCCTGCTACAGCAGAGGTGTAGGGAATTCCAACAGGACCAACATCTCTGCTTTATTTACCTGGTCGAGGCCTATGATACCATGAGTAGGCCTTGGCTCTGGGTTGTTGTTCGTGCTTTCGGAGTCCCTGACTCTCTGCTCACAATCATTCAGGACCTTCATGATGGTGGGCAGGCCTGGGTAAAATTATATGGCTGGGAGTTGGAGCCATTCTCTGTTCACCTTAGGGTGTGACAGGGATGTCCTCTAGCTCCCACATTATTTATGTTTCAACCACATAGTTTGTGAAACCTTCGATGGCTGTACCAGAGGAATTTCCATCTAGTACAGATATAATGGGAGGCTGTATGGACGCCCAGGTGCAGTCCAGGGATGGCTCCCTATGGGTCAACTATGTTAGTTATCCTGATGATCTGGTGATTGCTGGTCACTCAGAGGAGTTTGAGGCGCAGCTGCTGCACCTGGAGGAGCGTGCTACTAAGAGGTGGGGCCTTACCATCAGCCCCACCAAAACTAAACACCTGCCTGGGTATTTTGTGCCATCAAACACTCTACCCCCTCACCCAATTGGTGATAGGGCAGTTTTGGAGAGGGGAGAGTTTTCCATACCTGGGCAGTGTGCTCATGACCAGCAGAGGTCTCACTCCGAATCAGTCGAGCAGGATTATCTTTTCATCGGCTGCGTAACGCTGTTTGGAAGCGACCTGGTTTCTTGCTCCACACGAAGCTTCAGGTCTTCTCGGCCATTGTCATTCCTTCACTTCTCTATACTTGCAAAACATGGACCCCCCCATTAGAACATCTTCGCCGGTTACAAACATTTAGGCTGGCCTTGAAAGATCTGGACAAAGTCCCATCGGTGAGCTACTCCGGCAAGCAATGCTGCATTGACTGGGTCATGTAGCCCTCATGCCCAGCCACCGCAAGCCTAAACAGCTTTTGTTCGGCTGGATAAAGGAGGCCAAACGTGCGTGGCAAGGGCTAGAGAGGAGTGATGTGGTACAAGAGGATGTGGTGCTGAGTGGACTTGCCGATGACTGGTACTAGCGGTGTCAAGATCGGCCTCTGTGGAGGAGGCTCGTGACAACAGAGGGCAGAGGAGCAATGCTCACGACAACGAGTGGAGTGCCGGGTAGCTAAAACACAGCAAGTTAGCACAGTAGGGGGCACAGGTGGTGCATCGGCAAATCAACTCAGTCAGTTAACCCATTGTACTTGGGTCTCTCGTGTGACTTCCTGCCAGCGGGCATTCGACACTTCACCTGGCCTTAACATTCACATAGCCTGGCACAAGCGCCATAGTGGTGTCACCGCCACTTAGTGGCGAATGGCGGTTGTTGTTGTCAATGTGTAGCCGTGTGTAGGTGTAGCCATGTGTGTATGTGTAGCCATGTGTGTTTGTAGCTGCGTGTGCGTGCGCGTGACCCCGCACCCTGTGTAGAGGAGCGCCGGGAGGATGAAGACGGCTTGGAAGAAGCAGCGGCACGCTGCCACGGTGAGTGGGTGCACGGGGTCCACGAGCTTGACGAGCGCCGAGATCACGGAAAAGATCAGCGACGAGAATAGCGCGAGCAACAGGCCCAGACCAGGGCAGCACGGCTTGGGGGCGGGCGGCGGCACCCCTACAGCACACATACAGCACACACACAGCACTCACACTATATATACACACACAGAGTACACACACACAGTATCTACGCAGCACATACACAGTATATACAGAGCACACAAGGGTGCGACGATGGCGAGATGTTAATTACCTTACATGGTATACAGGAGGTCGTGGGTTCGATCCTGACCCCAATGCCTGTATATTTGGAGTTTGCGTGTCTCTCTCCCTGTGGTCGCCCTCTGGTTTTTCGCTCCACATTTAGAAACATGCGTTCAGAGTATTTGGCTTGCGATAAATTTCCACATTATGTCACTTTGTTGAAGTATCATTTGTGGCCAGCTCACCTATGAAGAAGAGCTATGTAGATCAGTGGACCTTACCTGGCAATATAAGTGTATTTTAGTTTAAATTAAAATACTATACAGTGAGGGAAAAAAGTATTTGATCCCCTGCTGATTTTGTACGTTTGCCCACTGACATAGAAATGATCAGTCTATAATTTTAATGGTAGATTTATTTGAACAGTGAGAGACAGAATAACAACAAAATAATCCAGAAAAACGCATGTCAAAATGTTATAAATGAATTTGCATTTTAATGAGGGAAATAAGTATTTGACCCCTCTGCAAAACATGACTTAGTACTTGGTGGCAAAACCCTTGTTGGCAATCACAGAGGTCAGACGTTTCTTGTAGTTGGCCACCAGGTTTGCACACATCTCAGGAGGGATTTTGTCCCACTCCTCTTTGCAGATCTTCTCAAAGTCATTAAGGTTTTGAGGCTGACGTTTGGCAACTTGAACCTTCAGCTCCCTCCACAGATTTTCTATGGGATTAAGGTCTGGAGACTGGCTAGGCAACTCCAGGACTTTAATGTGCTTCTTCCTGAGCCACTCCTATGCTGCCTTGGCCGTGTGTTTTTGGTCATTGTCATGCTGGAATACCCATCCACGACCCATTTTCAATGCCCTGGCTGAGGGAAGGAGGTTCTCACCCAAGATTTGACGGTACATGGCCTCGTCCATCGTCCCTTTGATGCGGTGAAGTTGTCCTGTCCCCTTAGCAGAAAAACACCCCCAAAGCATGTTTCTACCTCCATGTTTGACGGTGGGGATGGTGTTCTTGGGGTCATAGGCAGCATTCTTCCTCCTCCAAACACGGCGAGTTGAGTTGATGCCAAAGAGCTCCATTTTGGTCTCATCTGACCACAACACTTTCACCTAGTTGTCCTCTAAATCATTCAGATGTTAATTGGCAAACTTCAGATGGGCATGTATATGTGCTTTCTTGAGCAGGGGGACCTTGCGGGCGCTGCAGGATTTCAGTCCTTCACGGCGTAGTGTGTTACCAATTGTTTTCTTGGTGACTATGATCCCAGCTGCCTTGAGATGATTGACAAGATCCTCCCGTGTAGTTCTGGGCTGATTCCTCACCGTTCTCATGATCATTGCAACTCCACGAGGTGAGATTTTGCATGGAGCCCCAGGCCGAGGGAGATTGACAGTTCTTTTGTGTTTCTTCCAGTTGCGAATAATCGCACTAACTGTTGTCACCTTCTCACCAAGCTGCTTGGCAATGGTCTTGTAGCCCATTCCAACATTGTGTAGGTCTACAATCTTGTCCCTGACATCCTTGGAGAGCTCTTTGGTCTTGGCCACGGTGAAGAGTTTGGAATCTTATTGATTGCTTCTGTGGACAGGTGTCTTTTATACAGGTAACAAGCTGAGATTAGGAGCACTCCCTTTAAGAGTGTGCTCCTAATCTCAGCTTGTTACCTGTATAAAAGACACCTGGGAGCCAGACATCTTTCTGATTGAGAGGGGGTTAAATACTTATTTCCCTCACTAAAATGCAAATCAATTTATAACATTTTTGACATGCTTTTTTGGGATTTTGTTGTTATTCCGTCTCTCACTGTTCAAATAAACCTACCATTAAAATTATAGACTGGTCATTTCTTTGTCAGCGGGCAAACGTACAAAATCAGCAGGGGATCAAATACTTTTTTTCCCTCACTGTATATACACAGCACACACACATTATATACACAACACACAGTATATACACAATACACACAAAATACACGCACAGTTACTATTGTTGGCGGTCGCATTGGCTTGATAGCGGTTGAGCAGGAAGGTTGCTGTTGACTCAGTATGTCTTAACGGTGGATCAGGAGACCGATACAGGCAGTAGACCTCACACTTGAACTGTGAAGGTTCAGCCCCTGCTCGCCGCACGGAGGGTGCACCTTGCATGGCTGCCGTTTTCTCGGCGGCTACTGTCGCGCGTCGACTTTCAAATCACCGCCGTCGTACAGCACAGAGGAAGGGCACAGGGACCACCGGCCCTGCGTGATCCCTTCCCCCAGTTACCGCTGTTGATGCTGCATGCAGCCAGCGATCGCCGGGTTAACGCCTCCTCTTTGAAACACCTCCTTTGTCGTCCAGCAGGGCGCTTGCCCATTTTCATATCTCCACGGTGCGGTGTGCATTTATTAAACATGGTGTTAACCATGCAGAGCGCATGTCCGGTCCATCTCAGCTGTGTCTCGACAAGGTACACTTCGGTGCCTGTTGCCTGGGCTCATCACAGCACGTCCTCGTGTGTGATTGTGTCCTGACCATTTTAATTCGTAGAATTCTCCACAGGAGCCACATGTGAAACGATCCCAGCTGCGGTTCGCACGTCGCCCTGCAGAGTCCACATCTCACAGCCGTGGAGAAAATGGCCAGTGAGATCAACTGCCTGGGAGACTTCGATCTTCATTCAAACTCGGTCCACGTTCATTCCACTATCTGTTGTGCAGTGTAACGCTATGGTAATTCAACACTTGCTGTACGTGACTTTACCGAAAGACCCAAAGAGTACTCGCTGTATCATTGGGTCAACGTTACTTCATGCTTGTGTAGAGTTCTGATGTGAATTGCTTTAACGTTCACAAACTGTTATCGAATCGTCCGTACCAAAATGTTGCACGTGCATTGCTATTGGGGATGGCACCATGAGATGAGGGCCATCGGGGGCGGGGAGGTGTCGAGATCATTGGGCATTTGTGAAAAAGAGCTTCGTAGCTCATCGGATTCCTCAACTCTAAATTAAGATTCTGATTCTGATAGTTACCTCACCTCTGCATACAGTTGTTCAGATTCAGCATTTCCTGGAGGTGACACTCTGCAACACCTGATCACACTTGAACAAGTGTTGTAAAGTGCACGGACCACGTTGACAAATATGACTGGGCTTACTAGTTTGGCCAGCAAGGCACAAATGGCAGATCGGTTAATGGTGTCAAATTGTTTTGTGTAGCAATAAAGGGAACAACGTACAAATGTGGATTTTGTTCTCAGCACTTGTCCTGGATGAGCCTAACAGAGGAAACACAACCGGAGATGCCGAGGGCCGCTCTAAAACCTGACTGAAATTCAGTAAAGACACTAAACACGGTGCACACACAGCACACGTCATGGTTCAATCAAAACAAGTCATTCTCGTTGCTACTATCCTCAAACACACAGAACACGCACAGCATGTCTGGCTTTCCACACACAAAACAAACATCGCGACTGATTTCTATACTCGGGTGACTCATGATCAGAGCCAGACTAGCGTGAACGGTGCCTGGTGAGCTGCCAGATGTTATAAGAGGCATCGGTTTTGAGGTATGGCTCCGATTTCATCTGCTTACATCATCACGCCCCGTGCCTCCTTATGTCATCCCCCCACCCCCGTGTCTCTGTCTCCCTCCTCTATCCCCTGTGCCTGTCCCATCGTCTCACCCTCCCTCCCCTCGTCTCCCTCCTCCTCCCCGTGTCTCACCCTCCCTCACCTTGCTTCCCTCCTCCTCCCCGTGTCTCTCCCTCCTTTCCGTGTCTCACACTCCTCCCCCTTGTCTCCCTCGGCCTGGTATCCGTGTCCCTCCCTCCCCGTGTCTCTCCCTCCTTGCCGTGTCTCACCCTCCCTCCCCTTGTCTCCCTCCTCCTCCCCGTGTCTCTCCCTCCTTGCCGTGTCTCCCCCTCCTCCCCCTTGTCTCCCTCGGCCTGATATCCGTGTCCTTCCCTCCCCGTGCCACCCCTTATCCCCTTTGTTTTGTAATTGAGGGGGATGTTGGAGGGGAGGGAAGCTGACTCAGTGGGCTCCGGGGGGGGGGGGGGGGGTGAACTCAGGGGCAATGGGGAAGTGGGAGACAGAGAGGGCCGGGGCGGGGTCAAGGGGCGGGGCGGTTCAGGGGGATGCTGCCCGCGTGGGGCACGAGGAGACTTTGGACTCTGAACTCGGTGATGACCGATGGTGGCACTCGGGGGGACACCTGGGTCTCCCAGCACCGCCGCTCCGGGTTAAAGTGTCGCGCTTAGTTCGAGCAGATGCGGTGCGACTAGGGCGAGCACTTGCGAGAGAGGACAGAGGCCTGGGGTCGTCACCAAAATGACACAACTAAAATAAATAAAGTGCAGCAATGCAAGAAATAGGAATATGTGCAAGAAATAGGAGTATGCAAAAACAACCGCGTCCCAAGGGATATCGACAACATCGCTCACATAGCCCCTCCGCTAGGTCGACTCGGCCTTAAAATACGTATCTGGTGCGGTGTTCCACCACAAGTTTCATCAGTAGGGAGATAAATGCGGCCGGGTGTGGTTCTGGCCACACCACCCCCGTCATATGTGCCGCGCCGGCCGTTGTGAGCTACACGGGGCATCTTTGTTGTGACCACATTAGTGGTCACCATGGGGCGTCGCGTGACCACGGGCCTGGCTCTTAAAAGTCACGGCCAGCAGCATCAGCAACAACATCATTAGCGCCGTCACAAATAGCAGTGAGTGGTTGGAAAGGTGGTGGCGGTGGTATTGGACATAAGTGGGATGTAGATGCTGGTGGTGATGGTGGTGATAGTGACGTTGATGGTGGTGATAGTGGCGGTGTAGATGGTGGTGATAGTGACGATGTTGATGGTGATGTTGATGGTGGTGATAGTGGCGGTGTTTGACGGTGATTTTGATGAGGGTGATGTTGATGGCGGTGATGTTGATGGTGGTGGCGGTGTTAATGGTGGTGATAGTTGGCTACTGTACGCCCCTTGTTGAATTTTGTTTCAACCGAGTCCCCCCTTGCTTGACCAAACATGGTTCTGAGAAATAAGTGTGAATAATGAACGTAGATATTTTAACCAATTGTCCATTTTGCGAGGTATTCTAACTAGCGAGTAACTGCAAGCGAATAAAAAAATTCAACGGACGCTCCGCACGCGTGACATCACGTGTTCGCGCACGCTGGTTAATCTTGGAAACCACATTGCTTACGATCAATGAGTTTAGGAAGGTATTTTATATCGTTCTAGGTTACCATATGTATTGAAACATTTTTTATCGTAGTTATTTTATATTGGCAGATTAATACGTGATTAAATTCAACAATGACTCTCACGTATGATAACAATTTCACAAATTTATAAATAACCTCACGTAACCCCTGGGACATTGCCACGCACCCCCACGAGTCCGCGTACACCCGGTTGAGAAACACCGCAGTGTAGATGGTGGTGATGGTGACGGTGTAGATGATGGTGATGGTGTTGATGATGGTGATGGTGTTGATGGTGGTGATGGTGACGGTGTTGATGGTGGTGATGGTGACGGTGTAGATGGTGGTGAGTGACGGTGTAAATGGTGATGGTGAGGATGTTTCCCATACTACTCACCGCCTTCCTCCTTAGCATCTCCCAGTATCACCCCCTCCTCCTTTTGCTGCTCCTTCTCATTCTTCTCTTCGACCTCCTGTTCCGTGGCCATCACCACGGCCACCCCATCCTTCCATGACCCACACCTCCCATCCCTCAATGATCCATTTACCCCATCAATGAGGGCCCCATCTTGTGCCACAGTCACGGGTACCACCTCCTCCTCTCCTCCCTTTACTTCTCCACCCCAGTCCCTCATGTCTCCCCACTGCGAATCGCCGGCACTCGACCACCATAACGTGGAATGGAGACCTCAGTATCTGCGTGTATAGATGTATCTCTCTCTCTGCAGCTGTCTCTCTCTATAGCCGTCTCTCTGTAGCTGTCTCTGTAGCCGTCTCTCTGTAGCTGTCTCTCTATAGCCGTCTCTCTGTAGTTGTCTCTCTATAGCGGTCTCACTATAGCCGTCTCTCTGTAGCTGTCTCTGTAGCTGTCTCTCTGTAGCTGTCTCTGTATCTCTCTGTAGCTGTCTCTCTATAGCGGTCTCACTATAGCGGTCTCTCTGTAGCTGTCTCTGTAGCTATCTCTCTATAGCGGTCTCTCTATAGCGGTCTCTCTATAGCCGTCTCTCTGTAGCTGTCTCTGTAGCTGTCTCTCTGTAGCTGTCTCTGTATCTCTCTGTAGCCGTCTCTCTATAGCGGTCTCACTATAGCCGTCTCTCTGTAGCTGTCTCTCTGTAACTGGCTCTGTAGCTGTCTCTGTAGCTTTCTCTGTAACTCTCAGTAGCTGTCTCTGTAGCTGTCTCTGTAGCTCTCTGTAGCTGTCTGTAACTCTCTGTAGCTGTCTCTGTAACTCTCTGTAACTCTCTCTGTATCTGTCTCTGTAGCTGTCTCTGTAGCTGTCTCTGTAGCTGTCTCTAGCTGTCTCTGTAACTCTCTCTAGCTGTCTCTGTAACTGTCTCTGTAACTCTCTGTAGCTGTCACTGTAGCTGTCTATGTAGCTGTCTGTAACTCTCTGTAGCTGTCTCTGTAACTCTCTTTGTAGCTGTCTCTGTAGCTGTCTCTGTGACTCTCTGTAGCTGTCTCTGTAGCTGTCTCTGTAGCTGTCTCTGTAGCTGTATCTGTAGCTGTCTCTGTAGCTCTCTGTTGCTGTCTCTGTTGCTGTCTCTGTAGCTGTCTCTGTAGCTGTCTCTGTAGCTCTCTGTAGCTGTCTCTGTAACTCTCTCTCGCTCTGTCACCGCGGGTCCTCCTCTGCCCTTGCTGCAAGCTTCACGCGCGCGCCGCTTTCAACTTCCGCCGCTGAGCCAGTGGCGACCACGCCCCCCCTCGATTATATAAAAAATTTGCGTACGAGGCCACGCCTCCTACCCCGTGGGCCTGGCGTGCCGTGGAATCTGGTCAACACGTGCTCGGTGAGTGACGCACGCGTGTGTGACTGTGTGCGCACTTAAGCTGCACAGGTGACATGGTCATGTCGCCACTATTGTGTGTGTGTGCGGGTGACACGTGCTCACCGTGTGTAGTCGTGTGTGCACCTATCCTGGCATGGGTGACATGATGAAGTCACCGTTGTGTGTGTGCGTAAAATTGTAAGTTGTGTGGTACTTGTGTGCGCGCAGTATATCATCAGAAAAGCGCCCCGCGGCCAAAACACAGCAAGTTGGCACAGTGGGGAGCACAGCTGGTGCCTCATCCCAGTCAATCAATCCTTGGCATCTGAGTCTGTCCCGTGACCTTCCAACGAGCCCTCGACACTTCGCATGGTCTCAATCTGCACCTAGCCTGGCACAGTCATCGTCGTGACATCACCACCACTTAGTGGCGAACGGCGTCTGTTATCTGTGTATTTTGCGTGTAACTCTTCGTGTGTGTGTTATGCATATCTATGTTTACGTACGTGCATTGATGTATATTAGGTGGGGAGCAGTGGCGCAGTGGTTTACCGCACTGCACTACAAACTCGAGTTCAATTCCTGCTGATGGCCAACATCGGTGACAAATATCGGAACCGGTCCACAGCCTCCACGAGATCGACTCAGCCTTAAATGAGTTATTGGTGCGGTGTGTAAATATTAGCACTGGGGAGATAAAGGCGGTCGGGTGTGGTCCTGGCCATACCACGTATTCGCTAACAGCACTTACCCCAGCACCCTGCGTGGGCTACACGGGGATGTTTGTCTTATGCAAGGGATGGGTTCACATTGCAATGACATCCGTTTTGGCAAATCAGCCCCTTCCTGTGACGGCCAACTTCCTCTATCCACTCACCACGCGCTATGCACTCATCAGCACTCATCACCCACGACACTCACCACCCTCTATACTCGCCTCGACACAAGTCACCCACCCACCACACTCTCCACTCACCCACACACCAAACTATACACACACCACACTCTACACTCACCCACACGTCACACTCTCCACCGACCCACACACCACACTATACACATAACCATACACAAACCACAACAATAGCCGTTTTTTGCCACTAAGTGGCGGTGATGTCACCACGGTGCTTATGTCAGGCATTACGGAAGGCTTTATGGCAGGTCACCGGACAGACTCAGGTGCCATGGGTTGACTGAAATCACTGGTACATGCACCACCTGTGCCCCCTACTTTGCCAACGCGCTGTGTTTTAGCCGCCCGGTGCTCCGCTCGTTGTTGTGAGCGTCGCTCCTCTGCCCTCCATAGTTGCTGGAGGGTGGATGCCTCAAACTGCCCAGTCACGTCCTTCACGAGCCTCTTCCACAGAAGCCGATCTTGACACCACTGGTACCAATCTTTAGCAAGTCCAATCAGCTCCATATCCTTCTGTACTACATCAGTCCATCTCTTCTCTAGCCCGTACCGCGCCCGTTTAGTCCCCTCTATCTGGCCAAACAGCTGCTTGGACATGCAGTGGCTGGGCTACACGGCCCAGCCAATGCAGCTTTGCCTGCTGGAGGAGCTCACCGATGGAATTGTGTCCAGATCTTTCAAGAATCTGAGCTCCTCAGACAATCCAGTCTGGTCAAACCCAGGATGGATCGCAGGCAGGCTAAAATTAATATTTAAAACCGGCGCAGGTGTTCGATCGAGCGCTCCACATTTCCTAAACATAGAAAAGGGAGGGAGGGCACGACTGTGGCCGAAAAGATCCAGAGCTTAGCGTGGAGTTGCAGGCCAGGTAGGTTCCCCACAGCGTTACGCAGACGATGAAAAGATAATGCCGCTTGACTGATTCGGAGTGAGACCTCTATTGTCAAACCGCAGCTGGTCATAAGCACACCGCTCACACACTCCGATCACCCTCACACTCTCCCACACGCCTCACCCTACACTCACCTTTGACCACACTATATACTCACCCACACTATACACACACGACAACCTGCACTCATTCAGTCACCCACACTCCACACCCTACCCTGACCCACATGTCACACTCTGCACTCACCCACACTCACCCACACACCCCGTCGCAGTATTCAGAATAGTTTATTCTGAGGAGTCACGTGCCCGCCATCATCGTCGTCATCAATGTTCACGCGCGACAGCTGCCCGACAGAACGTGTGCTACACGCGTGCGTGCCTGTAAGGCTGATGAGGGGGCAAGTTGTGGTTGTGTGATGTTGAGGTGAGTGTTGTGTGTATTAGTCAGGAGGTGTGTGTGAGGTTGAGATGTGTGTGAGGAGGTGTAAGCTCAAGGGGCGTGTGAGGTAGAGGTGAGTGTAGGTGGTGTGCGTGTGAGGCGGTGTGTGCTAGTGGGGAGCGGTGGCGCAGTGGTTAGCGCACTGCGCTACGAACCCTTTTGACACGAGTTCGATTCTCGCTCACGGTTAAAACCAGTGACGATTATCTGAACCGTCCTGTGCCTCCCCTAGGTCGCCGCACCTCCGATTAGCATGGTTGGCAACGTATGGTGCGAAAGAAGTTCAACATACATACAAATGAGTACCTGGTGCAGTGTGTAAAATCAACACTGGGGGGGCAAAGGCGGCCGGGCATGGTGCTGGCCATCCACTGCCTCGTGTGCCATGCCGGCCTTCATAGGTGCTTCTCGCGACCAGCACTTGTCCCAAATGTCCGTTAAGGCTATACGGGGGATCTTTGTCTTGTCTAAGTAAGGAGGTGTGAGTGAAGTTGAGGTGTAAGTCCGAACACTTGGTATCAAGTCCAGTTAATCACGAACACACACAGAGTAAGCTATTTGAATGAACAACACCGTTATGAGGCTGCTGCCAAACTGGCTCGGACACAAGGGTAGATGGCGAACATCTGCCAGCGGTGACCGGTTCCAGGTCGTTGGTCCGGAGACCGACCGCGGAGAGACGGTGCCGTGGGATCCTGGACAGCGTCGATTCGGGACCAGTGAGGCTGGGCAATGCTCATGTGGATAGGTCGGAGCGGACTGGTGCTTGTTGCAAACGAACCGGCAAAGGTTGATGTGTTTGATCGGTGGTCAATGTAACTCGTGGCGAGGCACTCTCGCTGACAGTGTTGGAGAAGACGGCAGGAGCCCTGTGTGTCAATGTGGGGGTGAGGAGGAGCTCTGTCGATGTGGGGGTAAGGGTGAAGAGGAGCTCTGTGTGACGCGGGTAAAGGTGAGGAGGAGCTCAGTGTGAGGATGTTGGGCGTGACGGTGAGGAGCTCTACGTGACCATGGGGGGTGAGGATGAGGAAGAGCTCTGTGTGACGATGGTGAGCCTGAGGGTGAGGAGGAGCTCTGTGTGACGATTTTGGGGGTGAGGGTGGGGTGTGAGGGTGAGCTCTACGTGACGACGTAGGGGTGAAGGTGAGCTCGCTCTACGTGACGACGTAGGGGTGAAGGTGAGCTCGCTCTACGTGACGATGTCGGGCGTGACTGTGAGGAGGATCTCCTCCTGGCCGCGCCGTACGAGTAGAAGCAGCTTCTCCTCCCTCTGCACCGCCTCCTGCAGTGACGTTGTGCGCGTGGCTACTCGGCCGTCCACAGCCACTACCACGTCACCGTTTCTCACCCCAGCGCTACAAACAGCACAATATCCACATCACTGTTACTCACCCCGGCACTAACACCACCACCACAACATCCACAACAACATCACCGTTAGTCAACCCGGCACTAACACCACCACAATCATCGCGACCATGAAAACCACAACCACCCTATCACCATTACTTACTCATCTCCTATGGGACATTAGGCTACAATCAGCTATCTCTGTCTTTTCCTGTCATTGGCTGCATGCTTTGCCTCTCTTCCCTACCCTATCACCTTTACCCCGGCACTACCATCACAACAACAACTAAAAACTATGCTTTATTTTGCCAGGTAACGTCCACTGAGCTCTACAGCTCTTTTCAGAAGCAACCTGGCTAGAAGTGATAGCTCAACGAAGTGGCTTATCATGTGGAATTGTACCGTAGCCAAATACTCTAAACAAACGTTGATTGTAAATGTAGAGGGAAAAACCAGAAGACGCGGAGAAAAATCCACGCGACCATGGGGAGAGAGACATGCAAACTCCAAATAAACAACAGGCGTCAGGGTCTGGAGCGAACCCATGACCTGTATACCAGACGAGGTAGTTAACATCTCGCCACCATAGTCCCCCCAACAACAACTACCACCACCATATCACCATTACCACGGCACTATCAACAGCAACCACCACAACAATAGTATCAACCACAACATCACCACAACATCAACATTACGGCCATCGCCGGCACAGGGAGTTAGGTCACCTGGCAGCGGGTGAGCCCGGGATGACCTCGTGTACGTAGATCCCGCCGGAGACATCCGGGAAATCCCGGAACCGGAGCCGGAGCTCCTTAATCAAACTGGGACATCATCAACATCATCATCAACAGCACCATCATAATTATCATCGTTACAAGCAACACCATCATCACCACGGGTCATTTATCATCACCACCATTAACATCATCACAATCATTATCACCACGGAACCGGAGCCAGAGTTCCTTAATCAGACTGGAACATCACCATCATGACCATCATTAACATCATCACTACCATCATTATTATCATCACCGTTATCATCACGTGCATCATCAACACGGAATCAGAATCGGAGCTCTTTAATCAGACTGGGACATCATTGTGACGATATGGTGATTAACACTCACTGTACCGTTGGGTCAATGCAAGTTCGTGCTTGTGTAGAGTTCTGATGTTAATTGCTTTATCGTTCTGCAAACAGGTTTTGAATGTTTGGTACCAAAATGCTGCACGCCGCGATAATTGTTTTGATGTTTGTCAATGCAAATGAGGGCTGGGGGGAGATGTGGGAATAAACTTCCTCTGTACAGTGAGCAGTGCCCTGCATCAACCTCCCTCTGTTCCTCTCTCAAAGTTTTACCTCCTCTTCTTCATCATCGTCCATTACCCTCTTCCCTACCCTCGCCCCTCCACTACGTCCGATCCCTCCCTTGCCCCTCCGTGACCCCCCACGCGCCCCTCTGTTATGGTCACTCATTCCTCAGACCTTTGCATGCCCCTTGCCATCTAGATCACTCTCGATTTGTTACCGCTTTTAAACTACATACAGCGCCTTGAACTAGCACGCTCTATATAAATATAAATTAAATAATTAAGATAATTACCTCACCTATTTAAAACAGCAGTTCAGACTTCACATTTGAACTGGACAGAAAGCGTGATTGTGTTTAGTTCTAACTTCATATCCATGAGGTTTTCTGGGTTAGATCGCGTAAATATATAAATGTGTCGCGAAAACCCGCTACCACCCGACACAGCCAACTAGTAAGGGTTAGTCACGTAAACAGAATGTAGTGTACTTCACGGAGGCCCCACTTGAACTTGGAGGCAGCACGTTATTACACGGCCGCAACAGGGCTACTACATAACCGTACACAAGTTAACTAGACCCCAACGGGGTAACTACATAACTGGGTCAGTCAGTAACACTCTGAATGACCCACGATGCCGAGCGAAGACCGAATATCGAGGAGGCGTAGCACGGTGAGTTATTCCAGAAGACAGTCCACGAGTGCTCTCGGGACTACCCTTTTATGCTCTCGAGCGTGGCTTCGCTCCGCCTTCGGCCACGCCCCCTTCTGGATCTCACCAGAAGGTTCTCACATGCCTCTCGGGTTCACCCAGACAAATATGCCTGTCGCCTGATGAAGCTAGCTGTAATTACTGGCGAACTATCGTACTCAGATTGTAAATGTTGTGGCTTGGCTCTCCAACACACTGGTGTGCTGTACTAGTGACTAATTGGCATGTTCCTGTTTACGTGACAACCCTCACCAACATGGACTGAACCCTGATGTACCTGCGCTGGTTAGGCATTGCCTCACCAACACTTACTTTACCTGGAATGGTACATTCTACAAACAAATGAGGATACCCCTATGGGTTCCTCCTTGTCACCAGTGATAGCCAATGTTTTTATGGAGAAGTTTGAATCAGACGCCATCCAGACATCCACCCTTCGTCCTTCCCTTTGGAGAGATATGTTGATGACACTTTGTCATTTGGTCACATAGCCTCCCAGCATTGAACCATTTCCTAGACCACATCAATTCCAGACACCCATCCATCAAATTCACCATGGAAGTGGAGAAAGATGGCAAGCTGCCATTCTTGGATATTCTGTTTGAGAGGAGGCCTGATGGCTCTTTGGGACATTCTGTTTACAGGAAGGCCACCCACACAGATTGCTACTGATTCCCACCACCACCCGGCTCAAAAGAATTCCCTCATCAAAACACTATACCATAGGGCTCATTGCATTTCTGACCAACACCACCTAGCCAGTGCATTAAAACATGTACATCTGGCCCTCAAGATGAATGGATACTCTGACCATACTATCCGCCAAGCTGTTTCTCCCACCATACAGAAACAACCACCTGATACTCCAATCAAAATCATCACGTTGCCATACATAGCAGGCGTTACCAAAAAAAATTCCAAAATTCTGAACAAACACAAGATCCAGGTCCGGTTCAATACAGTACACAAAATCCGTTGATCTGATCCCATCCGTAAAGGATATCACTTCTGACTTACAGTACCCCGGTCTTTACAAATTGAGTTGTACCTGCGGTGACTGCTATATCGGGGAGACGAAATGACATATTTCTGACTGAACTCGCGAGCACAAATCAGATTTGAAACACGGGAGAACGAATTCTTCGGCCGTAGCTGATCATTGTTTCAACACAGCGGGTTCTCATGATATTGTTTTCTCTTATACCAAAGTACTCTGAAAACCTCCCGGATACTACCAAAGATTTGTCCATGAAGCATCCAGATATATAAACATAGACACAACTTCAACCGAGAGGATGGTTTTAAATTGAGCAATCATTGGAAAGATGTCATCAAGCAAGTCAAACTTTAGCTGCCTTATAATTGTACAGCCATTTCCATTTCTTCCAGTTGGTTGCGCTCGTTTTCGATAACCGCTCGCCATCGCCTCTCCGTCCCCCTAACCCCCTGCAGCATAACAAAAGGCGGCTTAACTTAGCCCCCCCCCACGCCCCTTCCTGGCTCCTCCCCCCCCCCCCCTTAACCTGTATATAATATCGGGTATCTTAGAGCCTATCTTCACTTGATACAGCAATTTTGCTGTGACGGTTTCCACCTGAAGACGGAAGCTTGTGTTGCCTCCGAAACGTCGTAATTTAATTTCGTTTTCATTTATTTTACCTACGTGACTTTACAAAAAAAAACAAAGAGTATGATCCTTGCAGTCACGAAAGCTTCAAATCTAGAACCCTCACTAGTTGGCTGTTTTGGGTGGTGGCGGGTTTTATCGCCACATTTATATATTTCCACGATCTAACCCAAAAAAAACTATATTATGGATGATATTGGTCACAAAAGCCTACGTGTTAAATGCAATTTTATACTTTAATTAAGATTCTTAGACACATAGATGTAATATTATTGTTCTATTGAAAACGGACATGTGTTATATCCCTAAATGTTAAAAGGCAAAATATAAATATTCAGAGAGAAAGGACGTGTTTAGTGAAAGTGTTGGTATTCGTTTTCATCAGCCTGCCCTGTAGTGGTGACGACGATTGTCTGGTCCGTAACGAAGTGGTGACGGCATAGCCGCTACTGTGGCGCATTGTTCGTGATCGTGTGGGGGTTAAATACGAGATCAAGCAAGCGTCATCGGGATCTTTGTCTACAGGTAGAGACACAAACTTGGACTCGGTGCACAACGACACTCCGGTGCAAATGACGACACACACACCTGTATTTTGCAGGACGTTAAGAGAAGTGCCCATTGGTTTTTTCGGTAAAGTCACATATGTAGAAATACAATAAAATGATATTAAAACAAAACAATCACGAAGTTTCGATCACAACACAAGCGATCTTCATCAGGTGTCAAGAACAAATCATGGAGGTAAATACAACAAAAAGGATGAGAGACGAGAATTTAACAAACCTAAAAAACATTATGTGAAGCACAACCAGTCAGGCCAACAACACAGACACTTCCTGGCGGACCACGAATTTCAGAAGAGTGTTACATTTCTTGTTCAACTTCTGGATTGCACAAACCAGCATAGACAGAGTGAAAAATACGAGGTACACGGTCAGTAGGAAAGACGGATAGAGAGGCAAGGAGAGAGAGAGGGATGAACAGAAGCTTAAATAGGAAATAAGGTGGGGGGGGGGGGGCAGAGAGAGCGCGGCAGCTCAAAAAAAACATCTTGCGGCAGCTCAAAAAAGGCACATCTTGTACATACACTCTTCTGAAATTCGTGGTCTGCCAGGAAGTGTCTCACTGTGTTGTTGGCCTGACTGGATGTGCTTCACATAATGTTTTTTAGGTTTGTTAAATTCTCGTCTCTCATCCTTTTTGTTGTATGTACCTCCATGATTTGTTCTTGACACCTGATGAAGATCGCTTGTGTTGTGATCGAAACGTCGTGATTGTTTTGTTTTAATATAATTTTATTGTATTTCTACATACGTGACTTCACCGAAAAACCAATGAGTAATTTTATGCAGTCACGAAAGCTTTAATAATTTAAGAGAAGTGTTTTGCTGTATTTTGCTCTGATGTGGCACCTCAACCTTTGTCGTGCAAGCATCTCGCGGAAAAAGACAAAGACCCCCCATATAGACTCAAGACTGTTGGGGCAAGTGCTGTTAGCGATCACCTATGAAGGCCGGCACGCACATGAGGGGGTGGGTGGCCCGCACCACGCGCGACCGCTTTTATCCTCCTAGTGGTGAAGTTTACATATCGCACCAGGTACTCGTCGACCTAGCGGAGGCCCAGGACTGAGTCAAATAATCGTCACTGGTGTAAGGCGTGAGCGGGAATCTAAATCGGGTCGCTGGGTTCGTAGCGCAGCATGCTAACCGTAGCACCACCGCTCCACACTCGCCAACAAACACACACCCACTTTGGATGATTGTAATTGGAAAACACAGTATTTATTCAGTATTTATACTATTTATCTAGAAATGTTTTTGTATCGGGTTTTTACATGTGTAGTGTCTTGTTAAATTCCTCACACCGACACGTTGTAACAAGTCACCTGCTTACACTTTATTTCACCTGTTCTTGGGGGGTTCAGCCAACACCCGCCCGGCAACGGCGTGAGGGTTGAGGTCCCGTTGGTGGCTTGAGCGGCAGCGGCGAGATGTCTTCACTCTTCATTCCCGGTCCACTCAACCCTCCGCTTACGCACACTCCCCTTAGACATCTCTACTAATTCTGAGACCCCACGTGCTCCCACTTAAGCTGCTGTTTGCCCAGCGCCCCTCGCCCTCGCTAATCCTCATCGTCACCCCCATCTCCCGTCTCCACGGCGCC